CTCCCAGTCCAGTGCCCTACTCACTAAACTACATGGCCTGTTTTAGACTCTGTTTTCATGCAGTGCATAATAAAAGATCATCCACAGGTGGACCACTCCTTCTCAGAAAGGCACAATGCCTCCCAGGGCTTCACTTTTGCACTGGAGAAGGGATTTCTGAAACCCATTTATGGGGTTTAGCATTCTCCCCCAGCCACCAGCCTACTCCATACCTACTCTATTTCTCCCAACAGGAAGCATCTAGGGCAGAGCACCTATACAGCCAGGTGCCTGGCTGCAATTGAATTTGGCACTAATATGGATGTACAAGATGGGGGAATCCTTACTATCTACTACATCTCTGAGAAATTAGATAAAGATTACACAAAATGTAGCCCTCAGTAATTAATTCTTCATTATTATTATGCCTTTGTCAGCTTTAAATAGTAATATATTTGCTAACCTAGATAACTGCTCTACCTCTAATATATATTTAATATTAAGTTGCATATCTAATGAACTGAATTTCTTAAAAAATCTAATAAATATGCTAGAGAACCCAAATGAATTACAGAACCTGTATATCTACCATCTTATGCTCCCTGCAATAAAAATGTTACTATTAATGATAATTATTAATAATGGGGCACAGATATAAGCAATTAGTAGTAATTTGCTACAAAGAAAGGCTGAAGCCCCACCGTGCGCATGAAAAATCTGCATTGTGCACTGCAGCTTAACTGGCCTGCTTCCATCTGGAGATATGCAGTGGTAAGGTTGCTAAGCAAAGAATCTGCAGGGTGCATTAAATAGGGCATTATTGGACGGCAGGTGAGAGCAGTCAGTGGAAAACACAGTTCTATCACATGCTACCCCAAAACAGCTCCCTAAATTCTGATGTCAAACTGACTGCAAACTGTTGTGGTCATGAGCAACATTAATTTCCACTCATCAGGCAACACACCATGGTTCCTTCAATTTTCAACAGTTCCAAATGCAGAGAGGAATCTGATACTAAGTGTGTAAGTGTATGTGTGTGCACACATACATGTGCTTGTCTGTATGTGTGTAAAAGTATCCAGTATCTGGATCAATCTCTGCACAACCCATGTACCTTTAATGCCACCTGCTTGCAATATGGCCAACCCATCTTCTTTAATAGCAGCCTTAGAGGCGTGGCATCTTTACTATGAAATGTTTGGCTCCGATCACTCTCTGCTTGGTGAGCTGAGGCATGCTAAATAGCATGAAAGGTTTCCACACTTTCTTGTGTATCATTTGGCATATCTCTGCTATCTCCACACTGTTTGTCATAGAAAAAGAGCAAACTCCCAACAGAAGTTACACTTCAATGCATTTTAAAGAACAGAGAGGCTCATTACTTTTCAAATACATGAATTTAGAATTTCACATTTTTCCAGCAAATTTGATGACATGCAATATAAAAGATATTCAAATTACTGAGACACATTCAGATCACAGTTACTCTGTTGTAAATCAAGAGTAACTGTGGAACTAGAGTTCCAAAGAGAAATAATTCGGCCTGCTAAACCCAGGGCTGTGAGTTCAATCCTTTGAGGGGGCCATTTAGGGATCTGGGGCAAAATTTGGGGATTGGTCCTGCTTTGAGCAGGGGGTTGGACTAGATGACCTCCTGAGGTCCCTTCCAACCCTGATATTCTATGATTCTATGATTCAATTCACAAGAAAATAGGAAGCCACCATTGTGGCAGTCTGATGATATCACTGAAGACACGAGAAATGTAGATCAGCATCTGAAGGTATGAGAGGCAGCAGACATAGAAATCTGGTGTAGATAAACTCTATTCTACTTCAGAATTATTTGGGTGGTTCTAATGGTGGTTTCATGTTAACTTTACTTCCATAAAGAAAAGGTTTTGTTTTTTGGGGGTTTCTTCATAGATGCTGAACTTCATAGTTTCTTCATAGATGCTGAACTTCAACTTCAAGCAACACAAGACAGGAAATCAGTACTCAGGAAATCAGTACTAGCTTCCTCCACTGTTCTTCCAACTGGCAAAAGGCTTGCAACATGCATAACATTAGACTTTTCTTCAATATCCCTCTCCTCTGTCTGAAGTGCTTCTCCTCAACCACCCTTCTCTATCCCCAATCCTGTGCTGAAAATCCTAGCCAAGGTCAGCATCCTCTACTCCAGGTTCCTGCTCCACATGGATGAGCATCAGAAGCCTGATATTGAGGTACAAGTCTCTCTCCTGACTTTTCTGCTCCAGCCTGATAATATTCACCTACCCCATCCTTAGGGTGCAGCTCTCCAATCCAACTCAGTATAGAGATACAACTTTGCCTCTCATGACCCGTGTCTGTACCCAGGGCCCTGATTTCTGGTGCCCAGTCTCCAAAGGGTGCCCCATTTCTCCTCTCTGGCCCAGTGTCCCCATTCTGTGATAACAGGTATCATCAGTGAGCTCTGACCTCCTGAAGCTATTACCAAGGAGAACATCACCAACCTCTAATCCATCTTGGCTTTCTCCTTCATCCTAGAGTTCCAAGGAACTTTCTTGCTGAACCAGAGAAGGGAAGTGACAGATACTCAAGATACAGGGAGAAGTGGAAGATATGAGGAGCAAATCCATGGTTCAGTGGTATGGGATAGAAGTGTATACAGAATAGATCCAGGAGGAGATCATAGAAGCTGATGATGACAAAGGCCTATTATCAAGTTCATTCCCCTATATGTACAAGATGTAGATCCCTAATAGATGACGTATGAGATATGAAACTGATACCACATTTGATCTTAATTCGAAGACCAAGAGGAAGCAGGTTGTGAGGTAGACGCTAACCATGGCATAACCTTCAGCACTGGACTGGGGCAAAAGAATCAGAAGTAGGACTGAACCCTGAACAGCAACCCAGGGAGTCTGAATGGACTGAAACTGGGGAAGGTTTGGAGCAAGGCTGAGTCTAGCAACAAGTACTACGGGTAACTAGAGAAGCACCACAGTCTCATACAGCAGATGGGTGTGGCAGCTGAGAGCAGTGGTATTTTACAGTGAAGACCAGAACAAAATAAGGATAAGTGCAGGGTCCTGCACTTAGGACGGAAGAACCCAATGCACAGCTACAGACTAGGGACCGAATGGCTAGGCAGCAGTTCTGCGGAAAAGGACCTAGGGGTGACAGTGGACGAGAAGTTGGATATGAGTCAGCAGTGTGCCCTTGTTGCCAAGAAGGCCAATGGCATTTTGGGATGTATAAGTAGGGGCATAGCGAGCAGATCGAGGGACGTGATCGTTCCCCTCTATTCGACATTGGTGAGGCCTCATCTGGAGTACTGTGTCCAGTTTTGGGCCCCACACTACAAGAAGGATGTGGACAAATTGGAGAGAGTCCAGCGAAGGGCAACAAAAATGATTAGGGGTCTGGAACACATGAGTTATGAGGAGAGGCTGAGGGAGCTGGGATTGTTTAGTCTGCAGAAGAGAAGAATGAGGGGGGATTTGATAGCTGCTTTCAACTACCTGAAAGGGGGTTCCAAAGAGGATGGCTCTAGACTGTTCTCAATGGTAGCAGATGACAGAACGAGGAGTAATGGTCTCAAGTTGCAGTGGGGGAGGTTTAGATTGGATATTAGGAAAAACTTTTTCACTAAGAGGGTGGTGAAACACTGGAATGCGTTACCTAGGGAGGTGGTAGAATCTCCTTCCTTAGAGGTTTTTAAGGTCAGGCTTGACAAAGCCCTGGCTGGGATGATTTAACTGGGAATTGGTCCTGCTTCGAGCAGGGGGTTGGACTAGATGACCTTCTGGGGTCCCTTCCAACCCTGATATTCTATGATTCTATGAAAACCAGAAGAGGAAGAGAGTCTCAAGCATGGAAGATGGAGCAGCCTCTGATTTTCATGTTCTTGGCAAACCAGTTACTAGCTGGAAAAGCAATGGAAGGAAGTTTGTGGGGGTGTGGCAACGGACACCACTTTATCCTCTATTGACAAGTGTGAGTATCAACACCTGCAAAGAGAACACAGGTATTGTGTACATGAAACTATTGTTAAATTAAACAAAACAAATTCTAAAAATAATAGAACTTACCCTACAACGCTGAAAATCTCCTGCCTTTCTTAGCAACTTAAATACATTTCTTCAGTCTCTAACAAGATCAAACTAGCAACTGGAATTTCTGTTGGGAAGTCTCACTAAAATGGCAGCCAGAATGGATATACTGAAATGGTGAGTTATTCCTTAAATCTGTTAGGAATATTCATTTTTAATCCACACACTTTTTCTTGTTAATGCTTGCTTTGTTACCTTTCAATCTGCTATGCTATGTATTGCTGTTGCAGACTTTTCTGTTTATTTTCTTAGGAAAAATCTGGATACTCTTGAACCTGGGGGCTGGGGAAGAGGATAAAGAGCATTTTCTTCAGCCTAGCACATGTGAACCAGTAACGTACAATACAGACCTAACATTTCATTGAGCACTAGGCTGAAAGAACAGCTAGTGCACTCATTAGCATTCCAAAACTCGAAGGGAATGTAGCTAGGATGGGAACATGGCCAGGACCTAGCTCCTCTGCATGCCTGCTAGGATCTGACAGCAGTTGCTGCGGGAGCACATACTCCAGCTTACAAAAGCAGGTGTGCAGGACACGATTCAGCACATTTACACTAAAACTCCCCATAGCATTCTTCATGCATCTGCCTTGCATAGGCAGAATGTCTCAGAGCCCCACGGCTTAGCTCTGACAGCTCCACAATCCCACAGCTTCAGAAAAAAAACAAGACAACAGTTTGGTTATGTATGTCTGTGAAATGATATTAACAGCCCATTTAATTTCTCCAATATGTTTACAACTTCTTAATAATCAAGCTATTCAACCTGACCATTTGCCTCCTTAAGTTCTGCACCCTCAGAACTCCCATAACTGCAATGGATATATGGAATATTAGTTATTTCAGCAATGGTAATTTCAAAACTTCCAGCTGGATTAAAAACAGTTCCCATATTTTGAAGTATCACCAGTAAATAACACTAACCTCCTTCACTTTTTCCAGTTCATTCTGTAGAGCCTGTTTAGTAATCTCAACTTCTATAAGCTGCTGTCTTAGCTTTTCATTTTCATCTTCTGTTGTAGCTCGTTTTTCTTCCACATTTTCTAACTCATGATGAAGTCTTACTGAGACATCTTTTGCAACCTAAAAGAAAGGGTGTTTGCAAAAATAAATCATTAAATACATGAAAAGTATGTATTTCTGCAGTACCGTCTGAATGATCACTTCTGACTTTTTTCAGTAGAAGGGGCATGGAAGAGATGTGCGGAAGCCAGAGTCGACCAGTGGGATTCTGACTACCTAGGAACTCAGCCTAACTTTCATTAAAGTTAGGAAAGAAGATTTTTTCCATTGACTTCAGTGGGAATTGGATTAGGCCCTAAACAAATACTCCATCTCTGGACTCCTGGGTGTGCACAATGAAGCAGTAACTCCACCATCCTTGGAAACTGTACTTGAAAGGGACCGAATGCTGCATTGACAGTCCACCCAACTCCTTCACTGACCGCTCCCTTTCCTAATGCACCCTGCCATGTCCCCTTCAGACAGTTAATGTCCATGGAAGCACTGACTAACAGCAAGATCTACCCTCTCCAGCCATATGAAGCACAAACGAGGGGACAGCTCCTCACTTCCTCCCCCCGTTTAGGCATGCAAGGTTGGTCACAATCTGGTCCTTATTATTGCTAATTATTTTAATTTTAAAATAAGATAAGCCTTAGATTTTGTGACCAGACACCTGTGTCTAACACTAAAATTCAGTATGTTTTTAAAGTGCATAGAAGCATTCATGGTTTTTGTTTTCAATTTTGAAATGCATAGACACAAGGAGGAGGGTTTAAGGCAGGGGTGAGCAAACTACGGCCCACGGGCCACATCTCGCCAGCGGGACCGTCCTGCCCAGCCCCTGAGCTCCCGGCCAGGGAGGCTCACCCCCGACCCCACCCCCCGTGCTGTGTCCTGGCCTCCCCCGCCCCGCAGCAACACCACCATGCGGGCAACGGGGCTTGTGTCGGCCCACCTCCCAGGCTTTCAAATAAGCCTGTCCTGCCACTCTGAGCAGCATGGTAAGGGTAAGGGGGCGGAGGGGAGAGTGGGTTGGATAACGGGCAGGAGGCCCTGGGGAGCAGTCAGGGAACAGGGGGTGGTTGGATGGGGCGGAGGTTTGGGGGACAGGGAATGGGGGTGGGTTGGATAGGCGGTGGGGTCCCGGGGGGCTGGGGGGGACAGGGAGCAGGGGGGTTGGACAGGGGGTGGGGTCCTGGGGGGGCAGATAGGGACAGGGGTCCCGGGGGGGCAGTCAGGGGACAGGGAGCAGGGGGGGTTGGATAGGGTGTGGGGTTCCAGGGGGGTGGTTGGGGCAGGGGGTCCTGGGAGGGGGCGGTAAGGGGACAAGGGCCTGGGGAGGTTGGGTAGGGTATGGGATCCCCGGGGGGGTGGTTAGGGGCGGGGGGTCCCGGGAGGGGACGGTCAGGAGACAAGGACCAGGGGAGGTTGGATGGGCCGGGGATTCTGAGGGGGGCAGTCGGGGCGGGAAGTGGGAGGGGGTGGATAGGGGACAGGGGCCAGGCTGTTTGGGGAGGCACAGCCTTCCCTACCGGGCCCTCCATTTCATTTCGCAACCCCGATATGGCCCTCGGGCCAAAAAGTTTGCCAACTGCTGGTTTAAGGAAATGTACCAGGACCCAATCCCTTTTTTCACTTATGTAAATGACAATTATGCCATTCAGAACATTATATTATAACTTTATGGCACTTTTAAAATGGTAATAACACATATATCAAATATTTAGGTAAACAACAACAGCTACGATGACTTCGATACAATCATTTTGAAATATGTGACGTGTTAGTTTCTTTAAAATTTAAAGACACAGTTAATCCTTCGTTGGTGTTTGCATTACTTAAGTCTGAGCTCAGAGTTCTCACTTTTTATGGCCAATACAATATTTATTGCATGTTTTTAATACTCTGTTATATTTCATGTACACCCATACACAGACCTCTAAAGAACAAAATATTGCATAGAAAGCAATGTAGAAGAATTTTATCAAAAAAGAGTTGCAGCTAGTGCCTCACTCTTTCATGACAGGAAACACAACTGTGTGTAAAGTACTGATACAATAGGCTGCAGCATTCATTCAATGACTTCCCTATCCCTACGCCCCACCTCTTACACACACACCCCGCATGCACACCTTGGCGGGCAAGGGGGACCATCTTTGCTGAATTCCGAGCAGATCCTAGGCTAAGGGACTGCAGGATAGGGTGAAAATCACATTAAATCAGAGGATTAGATCCTGACCTCCTTTCCCCCCCTTTTGTGCTTAGTTGATCAGTTGGGTAGTTTTCCAACATAGGGATTCCACAGGTAGCACCTGTTACCCTCCTTCCAAGCCCTGGCATAGCAGGAAACTCAGATATATGGCCTAGATTCTGCAACCCTGAGACTGAATAGCATTTCATATCCTATTTTGACAAGATTACCTATTTGGCTGACAAAGGTACGGTACCTATATTGACATAATGTATTTAGACCTCTGTAAGGTTTTTGATGTAGTCATGCAAGATATTCTGATTAAAAATCATCATCCAGTGGGGTCATTTCTAGTGGGATCCAACAGGGATCTGTTTTTGTCCCTGTGCTATTTTATGTATTTATCACGCATCTTGAAGAAAGCATAAAATCAATTGTTGGTTAAGTTCGTAGATGACACAAAAACTGGTGGAATGGCAAATAATGATATGGGCAGGTCAGTTCTATGGAGCAATCTGGATCACATGGTAAGCTATGCTCACTTGACCAACATGCATTTTAATATAGCTAAAGGAAAAATCAAATATCTAGGAAACTAGACTATAAGTCACCTTTGTATGATGAGGAACTTTATTTTAGAAAGAAGTAACTGAGAACAGGACTTCGGGGGCATGGTGGATAATCAGCTGAACATAAGCTTGCTGTGCAATGCAGTGGCTAAGACAGCAACTGTGATCCTTGAATGTATACGCAGGGGAATATTAAGTTGAAGTAGAAATAAGATGTTTTTATCATTGTATATGGCATTACCAAGATCACTATTGGAATACTGTATCTGGTTCCGGTGTCCACACTATTAAAAGGATGTTGACACATTGAAAAGGATTCAGAAAAGAGCTACAAGAATTATCTGAGTTCTGGAAAACCTGCTTTACAGTGATTAAAGCATGTATTTAGTTTATTGAAGAGAAAGTTAATAGGTGATTTAATCAGAGTTGATAAGTACAGTGACAAGATTTCTAACAGTAGAGGTATATAATTCAGCAGTTAAAGGCATAACAAGATGTGGTGAATAGAAACTAAAGCTAGACAAATTCAGATTAGAAATAAAATACAACAGACTAGAAATAAGGCACAATTTTGGCCCAATGAATATTTAACAATGAGGGCAATTAATCATTGGAACACCTTGCCTATGAAACCAGTGGATCCTCCATCATTTGAAGTGATTGGTTTTCTTTCTAAAAGATTTGCTGTAGCTCAGCCAGAAGTTATGGACTTGAGGCAAGAATCCCTTGGTGAACCTCTATGGCTTGTATTATGCAGGAAGTCAGATTAGATGATGGTAATGGTCCCTTCTGGCCTTAAGATCAATGGCTGAAATCCTGGCTCCCACTGAAGTCAATGGGAGTTTTTCCATTGACTTCAGTGGAGGCATGATTTCACCCTATGAATAACTTACTCATACAAATAGTCTCACTGAAGCCTGAGTAAATACTATAATGGTCCCACTGGAGTCAATGGGACTATTCAGTTGGGTTACAAAAGCTGGCCCATAGGGTGTAAGCTGCTTGTTTGTAATGACCTAAAAAGGTCCGAGTGTAATCACTCAGGGAAATTACTCAGACTCCCACTGACTTCAACAAGAATTGACTTGAGTAAAGACTGAGTAAAAGATGAATCTGACGCCCAAAACATGGCCCATAAAATTCTGCCCCCCAAACCAAAGGGTAAGTCTGGCCTGCTATACCCTGTGCTTCTTGCATGGTCGAGAAGATGTGTGCTTCAAACTGATATGGAGCAGCATGTCTGAGTCAGAGAGGATATGGGAGCACCATTTTGTCTCAGCACTCAGTTCTCTCCTTCTTCAACCACCCACCCACACACTGAGACTAGGTGCTTCTGTACCTTGAGATCCTGCTCCATGCTGCGCAGGAGCTCTCCATCAATCTCCCCAGTCTGCGCATAGCGGAGCCTCTTGCGCTCAGCCTTGCGGAGCCGGTACTGTAGGATTCGGCAATTCTTGTTGGCTCTCTCCAGTTCATGACGCATTTCCTGCAGCTGACAAGCATCCTCCTCGAAGAAACTGTCCCTCATCTCATCCATCTCAGTCCTCAACTCATCTATCTCATTCTGACACCCAGTCAGGCACAGGAGGAGAACACAAACGGATGGACCAAGAAAATAAATATCAGAGATACACAGATAAAACATAGGGAAATGTGGCTAAAATGGAGCTGGAAAACAGGTCTTCTCCCTCCATGCCCATTAAAAAATAAGACAAATGGGAGAAACAGAGGGCAGTAAAAGAGATACTATGAACTAAAACACATTATTGCCCTTGTATAGTATTATCCCGATATTATTATAAATCCTCCCTCTCATGAGCTAGCAGAAGAAATAGGAAATAAGCAGAAATCTAGCCCACGATGCTTTGTATCTGCTGTGCAGCATTCTGGCCACCCACAGATGTGGAGCAGCAGAAGGGGTTGGCTAACCCGCTCTCTCCCCTTCTACTCCCCCCATCACTCCCCAGGAAGGGTGTGGGTGACAGGCCTTGCCCCTTTCCAGCTCAGCTCAGAAATCTCCCCAAAGGAATCTTCCCAGCCCCACCCTCTGCCGGGGGTGGATGCCATGTGCTGGGCCCCCATCTTGGGGGCAGGGGATGGAGAACCCAGGCATTGCCCCTTTCCACCCCCACCTGCCTGGAGGCCGGGTTCACACCCTTGTAGCCATCCTTCTCCACCTCCCTAGGGGAATAAAGGGGGGGGGAACTCTCTCCCATCCCCCACTCACCTTGAGGGTCTCGTTCTCCTCCCGCAGCCTCTCCATCTCCTCCTGCAGCTCCTCTTGCTGCGGCGGGCTCGGTCTCCCGCCGTCCCCAGCGCCCTGCTGCAGCCCCTCGAGCCCGGCCGCCGCCATGGGCGAGGGGGAGGAGGCCAGGGGCGCCTCGGCCGGGGCGCCGCCGCCGGGGACCGGGTTGCCGCCCTTGGTTTGCATCTGGGCCGCGGCCGCCAGCCCCCGCCGCAGGTGGAACTGGATGAGCTCAGTCTGCAGGCATCCCTCCCGCCAGCACCCGCCGCCGCCCGCCGCCCGGCCCTTGCCTGCGCCACAGGAAGATGGAGGAGCCGGGGCCGCCTCCCCGCCTCCCCGCTGCGGAGCCCGCCCCGCTTTGCCCCTCCAGTTCCTGGGCGGCGGCTGCAGCGCGGCTGCCCCCTCCCGCTCGCCCGCTCCCCCTGCCCCTCCTCCTCCTCCCGCGGGCGGCGGCTCCTCGCCGGCCGGCTCCGTGGCGGGGGGCGGCGGCTCCGGCGCCCGGGAGGCTGCGGCGGCCCCCGCCGCGTGCGGCTGCGCTTCAGCACCAGCCGCCGGCTGGACAGCTCCCGGCAGCGCCGCGCCCCGCAGCAGCGCGGGCGGCGGCCTGTCCGCCCGGCCCCGGCCGCCTCTCTGCCCCGGCGGCGGCCGCGCCCCGCTGCCCTTGGAAGCGGCGGCGGCTCGCGGGGGGGGCGGCGGCGGCGGCGGGGCGGCTGTCCCGGGGGCCCGCCGGAGAGGACGCTCGCTGCTGCTGCTGCTGCTTTCTGCTGCTGCCCTCCGGATGCTGGCGAGGCTCGGAAGCAGCCGCAGCGCCCCCGGCAGGCGGCTGGTTCATCGCTGCTTGCTAGCGCCGGGGAGCCTCGCTGGCGGCCGGCAGCCGGGGCATCCTCCTCCGCCTCCTCCCTGGGAGCTGGGGAAAGAGCAGCACGGAGAAGGGGGGCGGGGAGGGGGGGGCAGAGAGAGGCGCACACGCTCAGCGCTCGCACCGGAGTGAGCGCGGCACACCCGCAGCCGGGCTTGCTCCAAGGAAACCCAGGCACGGAGCCCCGCGGGGCAGCACGTGCCCAGCCCCAGCGCTAGGGAGGGGGGCGCTGCCCGCAGGCTTTATGTTGATGCCGCCCGCTCTCTCCGAGCTGTTAGTTAGGAGCCGCGTTGCTGCTGGAGAGGGAAGACGCCTGGAGGCCAGAGCGCTTTGTTCCAACCAACTCCACACAGCTGTAAACTCGGGCACCTGATTTCAGTCCCCAGCCAGTTAAAAATTGGTGTGCTCTGCAGACATCGCCGTCTGGGATGGCCAGCCAAAGTCTGGTCTCCTTTACACCCATGTAAATTCGGAGTAACTCTGTTGAAATCATTTGAGTAACTCCGGTATAGCTGAGATCAGACCCTGGCTCCTTTATGTCAGTCTAGGGGACATTTTTTTCTGCTGATGTCACAACTCGTCGTTCCATTCAGTACGGAATGACAAGTGGCACTTGGCTCGTACACCTCTTACTTGCTTTGTTCACCCGGGCCAACGTTGTTCGCTGTGTGTCAGCTAGAGATGCTAATGTATCTCTATCGTGCTAGAAAGGACTCACCAAGCTGTCAAAAGGGACATTGGCAAGAGGGGTGGGGAAGGGAGTATTTTTTGCTCTTGGGGTTGCACACGTGAAAATAAAAACCAGAAGTTCCTTTCGCCCTAACAGGGACTCTCCCAGCTGTATGAAGGGTTAGCCCGCCTAAACAGAGGAGTCGTTACTAGCCACGCCCTTAAACAATGGTGTGGGTTATTGTTATTAATATTACTAAATTAACCTCTGACCCCAGATTTGTAATTAGTTTGTTGTCCGGAGGCGCTATAACAGGTTCATATGTGAAAGTTTACTTTGCCCTCCGATTTCTCAGTGATTATTACATTTATTAATTTTGAGAAGTCTCTCTCTGGCCAATTTTACCCATCTTTATATTTAAAAGGCTAGGAAACAGAGAACACATTTAGAGTACTCCAGGGCTGACTGTTACTGTGGTTACCAAATTACGCTCAGTTGGCAACTTTTTTCTATATTAGCAAAGTGATAGTTTCCATGGTCACAATCGATTATAAAAAAGGATATTTATTGGGTGCAACCTTACAAAGGTGTTTCTTAGTATAATCTGAAAATGATCACTGTGATTAATAGCCTTTATTCAACTTTTATTTATAGTGATAATTTATGCAAAAGTAAAAACCTTAGGGGTCCCAGTAAATTTCGAATGATCTAAAATTAGCTGAAGCATTAAACAGTAAAGAGAGAAACCTGAATTTGGCAAGGTCATTCTATATTCTGTACCAATTAGATAACTCTGGAACATACTCTAAACTATGACACTGCTTATTGCCAGGGATGCACTGATTACTGTTACATGCATTGACATCTGCAATAATGATTTTAGTTAAAGTATTGAAAATTAATGTTCAGGAGTACATAATTGGGCAGAAAGTACCAATATATTAATTGCCAGAAGTGGGGCCAGGGGCTATACTCTATTAATTTATAAAAACAATTTATGAAATGTTCCTTTACATTTCTGTTGCCTATTACAAACAGAATTTTAAGCTGCTCTTTTCCAGAATTCTCTTATTGAAAAAGCCTCTTTTTTCTTGCAATCAAAAACTGCATATAGCGACGCTGAAAACGGCTGGAATCAACTTGATTTCAGTATCTTATTCATTACTATGACTTTTAGGTGTTGCTGAAAATTAAACCAACAAATCTATAACCCTACACGCTACCTGGATTTCTTCCTGAAGTTTCACTGCAGCAAAGTCATCAAGCTCAGCAAAGATCTGCCAGGAATATAACTTGAATCCCTCGTGTCCCAAATTCCAGCACCGGCAGACTTCTATACAAATTAAAGAATCTTTTTAATGCAACCAAAATCCATCTCCAAATAAGAATTCCCCATTCCCTCTGCACAAACTCTGCAATAGAATCAGCTCGCTAGCGGCAAAATCACGTGGCGTCAAAAGAGGTGACAGGACGCGGTTGCGTCTCTGCAGGTTTTCCTGCTGGAAACAACTGCCAAGGCGGAGAGAAAAAAAAAAGAAGAAGAAGAAAAAGAAAGGAAAGGAAAGGAAAAGAAGAAAGAAAACAAACAACCCCCAACTGCAAACCAGAGAGAGGTTCATAGTTTTCACCGGCCAGTGTGGAACTAAATCCCCCGAGACAGAAGCAGCCAGGAATTCAGAAGGGGCTTCCATTTAATTTGTTCACTCTCCCAGCACAGATCACGTCCTTCTTATTCTAGTAGGTTTCAATGTGCTGCACACACTGCAAGCGTGTTTATTAAAGCTTCTGGCTTTTGTCCCGATTTTAGGATGCAGAAGGAAGAGGGCGTTTTCGCAGGGTTACCCTAGATGATTTACAATGTGTTGAGTTTTAATCGTATTGAACATTACTAAAAAAAAAAACCAAAACAAAAACAAATCAAAAAACCCGAACACCAACAATGGCTCTACTGTAAGGCAGTCTCATTACTCACCACCACTTTGTCTGCTGCTGGGCTGGTAAAATGCATACACACACGAGGTACCAAGCTGTGCCAGAGTATCTCAGAGAAATGCAGCAATATTCCTGAGCTGACCTCACTGGGCCTCGGAGAGAGAGGGTGGGGGAGGGAGGAAGCAGCAAAGGGAAGAGAAAAGAAAAGAAGAGATTAAACGACAAGAACCACGCCCAGGCCTTGAGGCTCAATTGCAGTTCTCCTTAGCGGCACATGGCAGTATCGGATTGCAAGGCAAACAGGAGAATTAGGTTGCAGTAGATGGAGACAATTTTCCTTCAGAATTCATTCCAGGGAAACAATAGATTTCGATCAATTATTTATTCTTCTTTTTAAGGAAGACTAGCATGAGGAGACAGTGATGCCAGACGCCTTCTGATGCAGCAGCAGGATGACAACAACTGGATTTTCCTTTGTTCATTTCCTTGATTTGCATTTCAAGTATAGCAAAATCATAATTACATTTCATTAGCAAACTCCTAATGCAATTGGTAAAGGTAGAGAGACACTGCCAAACTGTTCTCCTCTGCTAGAGATAATTCCATATGTAATTAATTAATGTATGCTTTGATTAAACAAGCTAGTATTTCATTGATGAAATCCTAACATATTTGGTAAAAATAGAAAGAGTGCCATTCTAATTTACTAAAGACTATTCAAATATTTATTTATTCTTGTGAATATTATGTAGATTTGTCTACATATCCAAGCATTATGTGGCCAGTATCACTTTGTATCTGAGTATCTCCCAAGTATATCAAAATAAAAACAACAATAAAAATACCTCTTTTTCTTCCTTCTGAGTTTGATTACAATGGGGCTATAGGAGCAACAGGAGGGAAATCAGTGGGGGAATCTGCTCAACACTTCAGATGTCTATACCCAAATGCAGGGAGTATGGGGAATAAACAGGAAGAACTGGAAACATTAGTACATATGCTACATTATGACTTAATTGGCATCAGAGACTTGGTGGGATAAGTCTCAGGACTGGAATACTGGTATAGAGGGATATAGCTTGTTCAGGAAGGACAGGCAAGGTAAAAAGGGAGGAGGTGTTGCATTATACATCAAGAAAACATACACTTGTTCTGAGGTGCAGAAGGAAGTGGGAGGCAGACCAAATGAGAGTCTCTGAGTAAAGACAAAAGAGGGAGAATAGGAGTGATGTCATAGTAGGGGGCTGCTATAGACCACCAAATCAGAAAGAGGAGGTAGATGAGGCGTTTCTAGAATACATAACAGAAACATCCAAAATACAAGACCTAGTAGTAATGGGGGACTTTAACTATCCAGACATCTGTTGGAAAAGTAATACAGCAAAGCACAAAATTTCCAAGAAGTTATTGGAATGTACTGGGGACAACTGTTTGTTCCAGAAATTAGAGAAAGTTACCAGGGGAACAGTCATTTTAGACTTGATTCTGATATACTGGGAGGGAGGAATTTGTAGCAAATCTGAAGAGTGAAGGCAATTCAGGTACAAGTGATCACAACATGATACATTTCATGATTCTAAGGAAAGGAAGGAGTGAAAGCAGCAGAATAAGGACAATGGACTTCAACCAATCAGATTTTAACAAACTCAGAGTGTTACCTGCACACTCTAGCCACCCACCTTTACCCTTCTGTGGGATCAAGGCATAACCCACATCTGTTACTTGCGCACTCTAGGGCACACACCTTTACTCTTCCATGAGTTCAAGGTGTAACCCTGTTAATTTAGGCACCCACCCTTTCCCCTCCTAGGTTCAGTGAAAGAGCCTTACATAGTAATATCCTTAATCTCTATTTATTAACAATCACCAACACAGAATGCACATGCTAAGCATACAATGCTCACCACTCCCAATAAGGCAGATGAACTTTTCCTGCTGGCCAGTCAGGATCAGGTCATCTGAAGACTCCAGCTCATGTATGATATAGTTGGCAGGGTGTTGAGGTCTGGCAGCTCTGATCTTGGGCTGTGTCCTGGAGTTGATTCCAAAGAACTTCCTTTTGGACCCCAGTTTATATACTGACATTTGAGTCCTGCTTAACTAAACCTTAATCAATTATTTTATTAAAATATTGCAAAATAATTTTTGACCAGTCCCAACATATTGCAAAACAATTCTTTAACCAATCATACCCCACCAACTTACTTCCTTTAAATCTTGCAAAATTAGTTATCCAAGAGACAGAAACAATTAAAGAATCAGACAGAAACCATACAGACAAACAATAGAGAAGTGGGAACCATAAAGGCAAAACAATAAAAGTATAAATTTCACAATCACAACTGTTGATAAGTGATTTTTTGCCAGACAGAATTCAATCAAAGTTTTCTTTAAACATCTTAAGATCTGTTTCTTTATCTGGTGATGGTGGGTGCTATTAGGACAGGATTCACCTTCTTAATAGCCCGATATTACATTATTTTAATGTAATTTAGATGGAATGTCAGGATGTGACTTTCTGCTTCTTGGCTCGTGGTTGCTGCTCTCCTAATATGGCTTTAGAAAAAGGCCTCAGACCTTACAAGAGAACTGGTAGGTAAGGTCTCATGAGAAGAAAATCTAAGATGAAAAGGAGTTCAGGAGAGCTGGCAATTTCTCAAGGAGATAATATTAAAGGCACAATTGCAAACTATCCCAATGTGAAGGAAAGATAGGAAGAATAGTAGGAGGCCAATATGGTTCCATTAGGAGCTCTTACATGATGTCATAAAAATAAAGGGAAGGGTAACACACCTATCTGTATACAGTGCTATAAAATCCCTCCTGGCCAGAGGCAAAACCCTTTCACCTGTAAAGGGTTAAGAAGCTAAGGTAACCTCGCTGGCACCTGACCAAAATGACCAATGAGAAGACAAGACAAGACAAAAAGGAGAAACAAAGGGTCTGTCTGTCTGTGTGATGTTTTTGCAGGGAACAGATCCGGAATGCAGTCTCAGAAACTCTGTTAAGTTAGTAAGTAATCTAGCTAGAAATGCATTAGATTTCCTTTTGTTAAATGGCTGGTAAAATAAGCTGTGCTGGGTGGAATGTATATTCCTGTTTTTGTGTCTTTTTGTAACTTAAGATTTTGCCTTGAGGGATTCTCTATGTTTTGAATCTGATTACCCTGTCAGGTATTTACCATCCTGATTTTACAGAGGTGATTCTCTTACCTTTTCTTTAATTACAATTCTTCGTTTAAGAACCTGATTGATTTTTCATTGTTCTTAAGATCCAAGGATTTGGGTCTGTGTTCACCTGTACAAATTGGTGAGGATTTTTATCAAGTCCTCCCCAGGAAAGGGGGTGTAGGGCTTGGGGGGATATTTGGAGGGAAGACGTCTCCAAGTGGGCTCTTTCTCTGTTCTTTGTTTAAAATGCTTGGTGGTGGCAGCATAGGGTTCAAAGAAAAAGCAAAGTTTGTACCTTGGGGAAGTTTTTAACCTAAGCTAGTAAGAATAAGCTTAGGGGGTCTTTCATGCAGATCCCCACATCAGAGTGGGGAAGGAACCTTGACACATGACCTTAAAATCAAAGAGGAATCCTACAAAAAGTAGAAACATGGTCAAATTGCTAAGAAGGAGTATAAAAGAATAGCACAGGTATGCAGGGACAAAATCAGAAAGGCTAAGGAAAATGATTATACTTAGGAAGGGACATCAAGGGCAGTAAGAGGTTCTTTCCATATATTAGGAGCAAGAGAAAGACAAACCAATTTTCACTCCATGCATCTGAAGAAGTGGGTTTTTTACCCATGAAAGCTTATGCCCAAATAAATCTGTTAGTCTTTAAGCTGCCACCCAGCCTCCTCATTGTTTTTGTGGATACAGACTAACACAGCTACCCCTCTGAAACAAAAGTGTAGGTCCTCTACTTAGTTGGGAAGGAGGGTTAATAACTGATCACTTCAAGAAAGCTTCAAGAATGTGTGTTTCTCTTCAGTCTTCATTAAAAGGTTACAAATACTCAACACAATTAATATTAACAGCATGGAGGAAAGAATGCAAGTCAAAATAGGGAAAGAACAGGTTAAAGAATATTTAGATAAGTTAGATGTATTCAGTTTGACAGGACCTGATGGAATTCATCCTAGAATATTTACAAAATAGCTAAAGCAACCTTGGAATTGCTAGGAATCATCTTTAAGAACTCCAGGAGTTGAGGTCCCAGAAGACTGGAGATGGGCAAACATAGTACCTATCTTTAAAAAGTGGAACAAAGAGCATCAGGGGCCTTATCGACCAGTCAGCCTAACTTTGCTTAACAATTTGTTCCAATATCTTTCCAGGTTTCAATCAATTTGTAGGACACTGGAGGACAATAAGGTAATTAGGAATAGCTAACATGGATTTGTCAAGAACAAACCATACCAAACCAACTTTATTTCCTTCTTCAACAGGAGTATTTACCTATGGATAGGGGAGAAGCTGTAGATGTGATATATCTTGATTTGAATAAGACTTTTGACAGTCCCACATGACATTCTAATACAAAAACTAGGGAAATGTGTCTAGATGAAATTTCTATAAGGTGGGTGTGATGCAGAAACCCACAGGTGGTTCATTATTCTATTTCAGCAACTCCTGTCAGGCTTGATATACTCACTACGTCTAACACACTGTTGTCATGATATATATCCAGAAGGTGGCACATAATACTGGAAAACTAATAGCTCATTGATCATTAATATTCTTGCATGATGTATGTACAGCATGTGTATAAAGAATAATTGATACACTAGAATTATGTTCTTAAAATGTGATTGGCAAGCAATGCATTAGCCCAATCTACACTAGACAATGAAATGTGTATTTGCTTTTCCGACTAGCCTGGTTGTCAGGCAGAGCCAATGAAGATGCAAAGAGAAACTCATAATATTACTATACATTCCCCAGCATAATTAGCGAGTTCTATGTGGATCAAATAACTATATAAATAACAGACAGAACTGTTTATTACAGAACTTCTGGAAAACAGGAATTTGGCCACATTTTCCATAAAAATATAGAGAAAGAGGGAATACTGCTTTTTGAATTTATTATATTTAATAACTTAATTTAGGTCTTTAAACATTTACCCATCACCAAATTTGTTGGCAAAAAACAAACAACAAAATAACAGGTTAAACAATGTGGAATGACAAACATGAAATATTTCTGGCGGATGAAGTTTGGAAATAAATCCAGCACACTGTAAAATGAACTTATTAATACTGAACAGATTCTATCAGAGAAAAATCAGATTATAAGACTAGTTGAATCTACAAAGTGATAGCCATTCATATCACTCACTATCACACATTGTTTGGTCCTGCCCTTGATATCCCCCCTTGAGGGCCAGCTAGAGCT